CCATAACATGACCTTTCATGTCGTAAGGAATTACTTGATCCATCAATCGGCTCATGGTCTGCGGTGCATTGCACAGTCCGAATGGCATCCGCTTAAATTGATATAGCGGCCTGTTCGGGATGGTGAATGCGGTTTTTGCCCGCGATGATTCATCCAAGCAGATTTGCCAAAAGGCATCTTTTAAATCGATTTTCGACACACAATGTACAGGAGGAAGTCTACTTATCAAGCCATCTAAATTTGGTATAGGATAAGCATCCTTACTGGTCACTTCATTTACCTTGCGGCAGTCTAAACAAAATCTGACTTTTCCAGGCTTAACAATCAATATCGCGGGAGATGACCATGCGGAATATGGAGCTTCTTCAATGACTCCAAGCTTGATCATCCTATCTACTTCTTCGCACAACAATTTTTCCCTTGCTGGTGATAACGGATAAAACCTCTGTTTTATGGGCTTGGCGTCCCCAGTATCGATGATATGTTCTACAAGAGTAGTCTTTCCTAGACCATCAATTTCAAACGAAGGAAAGGAAGTGATTACTGATTGTAAGCGTTTCTTTTGGGCTAGTGTTAACGACAACTGATTCGACTCCACTTCTTCGAAATCCACTGAGTTCAATGTATTCGAATGATGTACTGAAATGCCAAACGCTCTCCAGAAATCTATTCCACAGAGAACGTTTTCCTTGATAGACGGGACAATTAAGAATTCGAAATTATTTGCAATGGAGTTATAAACGATAGGAATTGAAATGGAACCTACAACATGTTGTTTTTGTCCGTCGGCGGTTCTCACATCGCCTTTTATTTTGTTAAAGTCAATTTTCGAATCGAGAATTTTATTCGCTAAGCTCCCTCCAATCACGCTTTTCGTAGCCCCACTATCTAACAAGGCTAAGTAATGCTGATTGAATATTTCTAAATTCGTGAACGGTCGCACATCGTTTGATCGATGATCAATCGCTGAAATACGATGCTTATTTAGCGAGCGTCGCTGAGTCCATAGGTTTCTTAGTCTCTCTGACGAACGAGGCTTAAATTCAACTTTGGGTTCTGAAGCGAAAATAGTTGCTCTACGGTCTAAATATTCGTCTAAACGGACGTGGTAAGGTTTAAGTTTTGTCTGACACGGTTTTGATAAGTCTGCTGTGAAGGTCGAATCAGGTGTTAAGGTATCTTTATTAAAGTCTGGATCCGAGGCTATTGACGACGGACATTCGCGTTTAAGAGACGACGAAAGTCCTCCGGAGAGTTTTCCGAAACAGGGTTACACTTTCTACAAGTGGGTTTGTAAGCTTCAACGGCACCACAGCCGTAACAAAATACACGACGCGCTTTTAAACATTCTTGATATCTGTGTCCCTTTTCCTCGCAGTTCCAGCAAATCAATTTATCCGGAGAATGTATAGCATTTAAGTCCCCAGTTTCTACCAGATTCTGCGTAAGATCCGTCATTGTGGTATCTTCATGGACTACCTCGTTGACTACTCGTTGTGGTTTAATTGGTCGAGAAATTGGCTTGGAAAGGTAATTCGAATAGAACGCTTCATGATTGTGCCATTCTTTGCGTAATGTCGCAAGACTCGGAGTATTTACATGAAGTAGTTCGTGTCTCAATTCTGGTTTTAGGTTGCGCTTGACATTGATCACTAACTCTGAGTCTGACATTGGTTCCCGTAACGCATCTGACAAGGCAAGAATCGTATCTAAAAATTCATCAAAGCTTTCGGACCCTCGTTGTTTGCGTCTTCTGACCATGTCTTTTATGTCTTCGTCTGATCTGTGGTCTTTATATCTTTCTCGCAAGCATGTGCACAAATTGAACCAGCCTGTTTGGTCAGTCGTACGGTGATATCTCCAAAAAAATGTCAAAGCTGGTCCGGTAAACAGCAAATTGGCAAACTGATATAACAACCTAAAATTGCCATTTAAACATTGTGAAGTCAAGCAATTTATGCGATATATAAAGTCGTCGACTGAGATATCAGTAGCCACGCCTGAAAATCTGACATCCCAATTGGATATGACACTCGATATTTTGTCGGGCCTATCGACTGCGTATTCACGTCTCGCATCAGGCTGAACACTAGCATTCGGTAATCTCGAAGCGTTGTTCGATCGCGGTGCATCACGTGGAAAATCATTTTCCCATTCTAATTGGGGTTCCTCACGTGGCTCCTGATACAAGTTTAAATTTCTAACTGCGGCATTTAATTCTTCGGACAAATAGGACGCCATTTCAGCCTTATGGGCTTCCAATGTCTTACTGATAAGCAACTGCACACGCTGTTCTGACAAACCAAGCGATTCCTTAGAAGGTTGGGTGTTTCGCGATCCCGCTTGCTCCCGAGAGTTGGTCGGCCCACTAGGACGACCTCTGGCGGCTTTAGGAGTATTTCGAGCATTACTTCGGGTAATAGTTCGGGACCGAGGAACGGCCCCCGTGTTTGTAGGTCTTTGTGAAGCTACTGCATTCAAGTCACTGCTATCTTCGTATAATTCTCGACTACAAACTCGTTTGCAAGTGGGACATGTCTCATTGCTTCTTAACCATTGATTTAGGCAATTTCGATGGAATTTATGAGCACATGGAGTTTCTACAGTGTCTGCATCACCAATCGATGATTCATTGCAGATAGTACACACTGCAGGTGCTTCGCTGAGAGTTAAATTTTCCTGACTACGAACGACAGCCATCATCAATAAATCGATTATAATTGGTCAAAGAGTTAAATGGGAATTGATCCCGAAAGGATTTTAATTTTAAGATATATACGAGAAGCGCTAATGAGCGATAATTATGAAAATCGGAAACGGTTTTAAGGCAGAAAGAAAAGGTTTAAGGCACTTCGATGCTAATACAATATTATAACATTTTATAACATGGGACTTATCCTTAGGTAAATACATCGCATAATCTAAATCTCTATGTTTGATATATCTTCTTACGAAAAGCAAGCAAACTATTTTACTAAATCAGTGTTGAGTTGTCTGAACAAAGTTGAAGAGGGACGAGTCGAAATAACCCAACCAGAACAATTCTCAATTCAACTAGAACAAACGGAATGTTATTATGCCCTACCAACCTTCTATCACTTGGTAGAGAACCGACTCGAAATCAGATCTAAAAGTCCTAAATGAATCAAAAGTGGCGAAAACATAATAAGATTTCTAGTGGAACAGTATAACTGATCCACTAAATAAATCGCTCGACTATTTACTTCCTGGTCTGGCTCCAACAAAAGACATCAGAATACCAGCAGTTCCAAGAGAGGATAAATGTCGTCGCGGAAACTAAAATTATTTGGATGGTATATTGTGATAAGGATAGGAAGAAGGGTGAAAGCTAGCATGGATTTAACTTAGGATCGTCCACATTGGACCTTTACTCTTTACACTTTTTATAAATGATCTTCCTTCTGTTATATCACATGCCCGTGTACTCATGTATGCGGACGATGTCAAACTTTTTCTATCATACACTAACCCCCTACATCATTCTCGTCTACAAGACGATTTGAACGCTATGCAACTTTGGTGTTCGGCCAATCAATTGCACCTAAATTGTTCAAAGTGTATGTTTATGACTTTTAATCGTACTACACCTTATCTTGTTAGTTATACAATCGACAATATCCCTTTGCAACGTATACTAACAGTTAAGGATCTAGGCGTTATTTTTGATTCTAAACTCTGTTTCAATCTTCATATAGATACCATTGTTAATGAGGCAAAAGGTGTACTTGGATTCATTAAACGATGGTCTAAAGAGTTTAACGATCCTTTTATAACAAAACTTCTGTACATCTCTCTTGTTCGCCCTATCCTTGAATACTGCTCTTGCATCTGGTCTCCACAGTATATCAACAGCCAGGATCGTATTGAATCTGTTCAGAAGCAATTTCTGCTTTTTGCCTTACGAGGTTTAAATTGGGACCCTAATCTTCGGTTGCCGTCCTACTCCAGCAGACTGCTTCTTCTCAACCTTCCGTCGTTAATCAACCGTAGGACAATTCTCGGTGTTGTCCTTCTACATAAGTTGATTATTGGCGACATTGATTCTCCTTTTCTGCTAGGGCGTCTTCAATTCTCTGTTCCGGCTAGACCAACCAGAAATTATCGCCCCTTATTACTATCTACGTGCACAACTGATTACGCTATGCACAATTCTTTTCGCGTGCTATGTAAAAATTATAATAGTTTGCATCACGTTTTCTCTACCGAACTGTCTCTACCCCTAATAAAATCGTTGCTTTCAGGATACCTTCGGGAAGTCGCTGACCATTCCCAGCTATGAGCAGGGGCATAGCTAGCCGGACAGGCTGAAAAATTTTCCCCCACCGTGTCGGTGATTTCCCAATACTTTTCTCTTTGTCCTATCCACTTAACACTCTTTATCTAACTTACATTGCTTTACTTTATTAACAATTTTCTTACTTTCTTTTTTCCTATTTATTGTATTTTCTTTATTAATTTAGCAAATTAAGATTATTTTTAATTTCACTTGAGATCACTTTTTTCCTACTTACAACCTTCTGCTTAGATGTAGGCTCTAATAGCGTCACTGACAAAATTAGCTGTGAAAAGGGGCACAGCTGGCCGGACTGGCAAATAAAACACCTCCATCGGTCGGTGATGCTATTTAGAAAATTGTATCCTTTAACTAGGCTTTTAGAATATACTTATATTGTACAACCTTTTGAATAATGAGGAAGACACTCGTTTTGTCGACCATTAATAAATAAATTATAAATTATAAATTATAAATTGGCTCGTGACAAATCATGTAACGAACAATGCTATCGGCTCTCTCCTAAGTTCTTGTGGGCCAATTCCGGATCTCGGGGGTGAGAAGCGGAAGAGCAGAAGTTCGAGCCCCACGTTGGGCGCCATTTTTTTCTTATTATTTTATCATGTAACGAACACGACGGCTACGCTGGGCGCGTCTTGCCTAACACTCGTGTTGTGCATTGGGAGCGTACTCCGTCTACAGGTTCCGACCGTGCTCAGGGAAGGGGCGTGGGTTCTTTTGCTCCCTAACACACTCGACGCGTTAAGTATAATAAAGAAAAAAAAGGTAGACAGAGTTAAGGTATGACGGAATACCACGATATATAAGGAGCGACTACGATCTGCAAGCAGAATATATCATATAGAGCCGAGGGGCTAAGATGTTGGCTACCCTCGGTCTTCACCCACCCTGCCTGTAGCTGCATCTGCGATTGTCGTTGCAACTACCCTTATGTATGCGATACTATTTACCTAAGGTGCCCAAAAAGGAATTAAGATTTCATTTTATCATATAAGTGTATTCAAAGAAGATTTAAACTCATGATCGTACTTCATTATACATTACGTGAGAAGAACAACGTTTTCTATTTTTTTTTTTTTTATAAAACTAAACTCAATCTGGGCAAAAACACACATGAATGAGATTACACTTCGAAACTAATATGAAGTTAAATCACTGCTGATCTGAATGATCCACAAAAGTTATTTGTAATTACGAAGGCTGATTAGGAGTACACCCGCTGACTATAACCGCGATTCAAACAATACGTACAATTCGATATGTTGGCTTATTATCTTTTGTTCTTTCACACAGTACTCACTACTTTAGTATGATCCAACGATGTCAGCAGGCCTGTTGACGACGATGATGTGCTGTGGGCTCTTAATTTGAACTATGTAACGTAGAAATATAGTAGTCAGCGACATATACATGCTAAATCAGGATCGAAAGACAATGTCAGCGATTTAAAACGGAAAGAATTGCAATTTAAATTTCATGTGTACTTATGCCCTTCGCTTATACCTACGGCCAGTATGCCGTTTAACAATTATATCAGATGTTGTAAATCCGAGTGAGGGTGCGCACTGGTTAGCTATCCACCAGATCTGCGCTCAAGAATGTCCGGGAATCAATGGGTCGAACACGTGGTCACGTTGGTCTGCCTGTGCGTGCAGCACGAACTATTGGTTAGCGAGGTTCAAAGCTTATCTGCAGAAAATGAGACGATGCTGAAATCTTGGTCCGCCCTTAGGAAATTCGCTCCCTGCTACCAGTGTAGATTGTAGCTTTTTGATGCTTTTGGGCCTTGGCTTTGGCTCCGATAAGGACTACGCGTTATGCGTAATTTTTCTTTTTGGCACGACTACCACACACAGGAAAGGCACCCCACGACTCCAGTAACGATCCTTTAGTGAATATTTGTCAGTGTCCGAATTCTGAAAATTTTCTTTATTCCGGTGAAATGTTATAGCCAAGCTCTTGGGAGCGCATGATGTCTATATTACCCCTTTTCTTTCTGGGCACCTTGGACCTTTTTTCCTTCCCTTTTATTTAATTATTTTTTTTTTTTTGAGCTTGAGTGCCGATACACGTGGGTTTATTACGCCCACGTGCAAAATTGAATTTTATAATTTTTAAAGCAATCTAAACCGACTGTACTCGTTGGCGATTAAAATGGAAAAGAATGACGCCTCGCCAAAACTAAAAGAAGCAATTTAGCATTCACCCAAGACACGATATTTTCATTCGCAACGGCATCATTAACATAGGTCATGGTCACTCTGGTTATGTTATTAACCTCCGCTGATCATATGTAATTGCATAAATGTTATGGTGCAGTGCTGCCTATTCAAGCTGATTGCGATCAGCTGATCATGCCAATGGCAATGTATGTTTATGATTACAGAAATAAAACTCATCACCCCATCACAAGGTTAACACCATCAAATCCTCAGGATCATTCGAAATAGGACATAAAGGCCTTGAATTAAGATAAGACTTAATTTGTGCTAATACTGTCGCCATTTCCAATAAACAACGGTCTCCAATATATATAAGTGTGAGCGATGACATGCAAGGTGCAAGCATGACTATAATTTACGAAATATATGAATGTTTCTCATTCACTGGCGACAAGGCATCGCGTAATCTTCCTCCGAGCCGTAAGACGCGCTCCCCCTATCGGCTTGCTAAAAGAGAGTGCCTTCCATTCGTTTTCAAACATTTAACATATGCCATAATTCGAAGAATTCGGGTATACGATTGATTTATATCTTGTAGCAAGTCTAGCTTCTTGTCTCAATACACACATGTGAGAGTGACTGTTGATCAGTGTTATTGCAAGGCCATCCTTCTTCTGGATCTTGTAACCACTGCGGTCCATGCCACCACATTTCACATGCCGTCAATTTAGATTTGCTAATTCCCCGAGGGAACACGTCTCCATTGTCTTCCATTCGAGACCTCCAGAATTTTGTTTATGCGATTTGAAACAAATACCTTCCGTTTGCACCTCCTTCACGGATCCAACTGATGACTAGCATTAAATCAGACCAAGAAATAGTACTGCAGAAGTTTATGTTAATTCGCAAATTCTGTTTTAAATAGTTATAGGCTTGAGTTGATGCATCACAACAGATATTTATTTCTGTTGCTGCGTTGTATAATCCCCATGTTATATATCGTAGTATGCGTATATTTGAATTGAATTGAATTGAATATTGGTCAAGTCCGTTAAAAACTTCCCCCATTCTCTTCTGACGGCTGCTGGCACTACGTCATCCCAGCCAATCTTTTCCCGGTTACAACAACCGGACTCAGCCATCACATAGGATCGCATGTACGTACGAACTGTGTCCTAGCCATCAAGGTGCAATAATCCCTTCGTTTCTCGAAATTCGATAGGTATCTTTTCTAAAAATGTTGGGCAATTCCTTGCCCGCTTTCTCAACTCAAATGTGCCACTGCGTTACATACCAATGACTTGACTCTGGATAGATGCCGCCTCTGCAACACTATCCTATTTCTATTTCTATTTCTACATCAGTCGATGCCAATTGCTAAGATATCATTCAATGACTTTCCATTGCTTGTCTTACTCGAGCCATCGAACGCAACTCGGACCTTCGTAGTTGATGATGCTTCCTTTATAACTGCGTGATGCTGTAGATAACAATGTTGAATTCCTCCTTTGGATGATTATGATGTTATAAATCTTAGGCGTAACCCGTTCCATTTGGCCCAGCTCCAGATACTCATTAGTGGTGTGACAATATACTTCTTTCAACCTGGGGTCTGCACGCAGGCTCCTGTCAAGATAATCTAGTCGCTTCAGTGCGCTTCGATATGACGTACCAATCACCATAGTTTGATGGGACAAATAAGGTAAACGCACAAGATATTTTCCCGAAGATAAGTGACGATGAGTATTGACAAAAAAGTCGTCGCACCACCTCTCTTCCGATGAGAGACCTGGAGACTCGTTGTCGAATTGTGTTAGTTCCCAAAACTAACGTAAAACATTGTGTGGGAGGATACCAACGACGCGATTTCGTTGATCTTTCCAGACACGATACAGCCTAAATGCGTATTATGTGCAAGAGGTGAACCTGTTGGTCCTCGGTATGCTTCACCTAGCATCAGCTCATCATAAATATCGCTCCCGAGAAAAGTGTTGACACCTTGCGGAATAAAATAATTAGGATCGGCTAAACGGAAATCCTTTAGATGTGGCCACTTCGTAGTAGATATTCTTCTATCAGGCATTCTTCGAGTCACATTGGGTAGGACATACGCTTCGGTTATTCTTTCATTCGCTAAACCATGGATTTTTTTATGTCCCCGTTTCCTTGTAGGTCGCAGTTGTTGGGCTGCATTCTCCGAAATGAACGACGCTTGGGAACCCTGATCCAAGAGAGCTCGAAACTTTAAGGGGTACCCATCTTTGGACTCGATAAGCACCATTGCTGTTGGTAGCAAGACGTCCTGACCTCATCATTTCCGTTGTAGATACTTGCTTAAATTTGCAGATACTTGCTGTGCACTTGTATCCGTTTTCCGTGAGGCGCCACATGCAGCTGCGTGATGATTCGGACTAAGACACTTAAAACACAACCGATGTTTTAATACAATTGCCTTACGATCCGACGCACATATTTCCATTAATACATTACAAGTTCCAATGGAGTGCTCCTCCTTGCGACAGACGATGCATATATCCGCTTGTCGAGTTATAAATGTAGCTTTTACGTTTCTTTGGCGTGCACGTAAGCCATTTACGCCTTGCCTTTTAGTCCTGCGGCTATCTATTAGTAATCATCAATATTGAGACTCGAGGTAAACACAAAGCTCTTCAAATTGTTTAGGCAGCTTTTTCATCATATAATATACCAAAAGTTGAGATTGCTGCTTCATATCAACTACAGCTTTCTCCAACGCCTGAGACACACGGCGTCTCCAAGTTGAACTGCTACTTGATGATTAAAAACTTCCATGTAATGTAAAAACAATACTCGTTTATTGTCAAATAAATTCACCAGTATTTTTCATGCTACTGGGTTATTCGATTGCTTTAATACCGGCCAATCTATGAATTTACCACTGACCGTGGGCAGCTCGATTTCCTCCATAGGGGCTATACAATATTCATTCAAAGTCAGGTACTCCAATGATTAAGTATCTTCTCGTTCTAATCTCCTCGTTGTTTCGTACTCGTACAAGCTGCTGATGTTTGCGTTTAAATTCTGCGTTAAATTCTAGCAGCGATTCGAGTCTGGATTCGAGCTGGGTTTCCGTATGTACCTATTCATCAGCCTTGTATTTTTGCATTGATTTCTCCAACGAGGCTAACAGTGCAGTTCTTTCAGTGTCAAATTTCACTGCGCCACGTGCGGAACCCCAAACTGCCCGTAGATATCATGCGGCCTGTGTCGTGGTTACCAACCGAGGCGGCTCTGAGGGTTTTGCACGATTGGTGGGAATTATGAGATTAGCAAAAGTATCCCAGTTCACGAGTGGGGTTGTTCATTTTCAACTACAACCTTTATTAAACTTAACCTAAAAAACTATGATTATTTTTTCGACCTACACAAACCATACGTCCGTTGACTTGGACTGACGCTCACAGCTCAATAGAATTACGAAATACAAGAAAATAAGATAACTTAAAGTTACAGGACTGAATGCTCGAGCGCTTGAGAGAGCAACTAAATTCAACTCAACTCAACCGTGATAGCGCGTGATCTATTGAGTGATAAAACATTACTCAAATGCGGCTGATCTAAGCGCAGGTGGATATTCATTAATCGCTCTTTTCATGCGCTCTCTTATAATATCCGCTCTTAGGCTAGCGCGATTGCTCTTGCTGATAGGCTGTAGCCCAAACATTCTCCCCCCTTTGATGATTGCAGCATTCATAATCAAATTTACGTCCGCCAACTTCCAGATTCTCTGGCTTTGTAACTTAACATAAACTAAAAATAGAAGAGTGCAATTTAACATTTACATAAAGGTTATGTTTCATAATCAAGCCAATTCTCTTGTATTGGTAATGGACAGAGCTTTGTTAATGGCCGTTTGATAACACAACTGCTTATTTTTAGAGTCACAACTATAACTAATCCATCTGTACCAGCATGAGTGCTTGTAATCCGACCCAAAGGCCACCGATGCGAAGGGAATAGTTCATCCTTAATTAACATCATGCATCCAGTATCTATGTTTCTCTTCATCTGCAGCCACTTTGGTCTTCTCTGCAACCGTGCCAAGTATTCAGAGTTCCACCTTTTCCAAAATTGTTGTGAATAGTATTGACGGTATTTCCAACAATGCACTAAACTCAGTTGAGGTACTTCAGTTGTAGGAGGCGACAAGAGCGCATCACCAGTGAGAAAGTGAACGGAGGTTAACACCTTCAAATCCTCAGGATCATTCGAAATAGGACATAAAGGCCTTGAATTAAGACAAGACTTAATTTGTGCAAATACTGTCGCCATTTCTAATAAACAATGCTCTCCAATATATATAAGTGTGAGCGATGAGTCTCCATGCAAGGTGCAA